TTTGTTATAATTGAGAGATAGTTTATGAACTTGTAATCAAGAGGATATTTTCTCTAAATCACTTTTCATGTGCATGATGATATTATTTGAATCTTTAGAGAAATAAATCAATGTTGTGTCATCTGTAAATAATTTAAGTTTTCCTCTCAATTCCAAGTTTGATATTGAATTTATGTAGACCAAAAATAAAACTGGTCCCAAGACTGACCCTTGCGGTACACCGCATGAGATGTTCATTAAGGAGCTACAAGTACCACTCACTTCAACATATTGTTTTCTATTTGATAGATAATTTTTGAACCAATCATGAATTCTTCCATCCAAGGGTATTACAAATGGTTTAAGAAAGCGATTTTAATGACTACAGAATGGAAAGAATACTGTTGTAATAATAAAATGATCAGGAATAGGAGATTTCATTATAATGGTTATTACAATCAGAGCTGGTAGATATTTTTAATATCCAGTTTCTCTCAGTGCAAGAATCGAGATAGTACATACCTATTGGTATTGGATTATGGTATACCAATTTTTTTTAACGAGAATTCTTTGTCATCCAGTTGATTGAGTTCTTTTTTTGTTATTATTATCTGGACACGGGACCTAAGAGACCTTGGGAGTGTTCCAACTTGAACTCGCTTTTGTAAGTTGGTGGCGCCCATTCATTCAATTAACGATTATACGGTGTGTTTGGATTTGACCCACCCTATTTCCGACTGAGTTTTGGAGCAATCTTTCTCGTGCTATTTCACTTTTCCAAGGTATGTTATTATTATTATTCCTTTAAAGAAAGCACGTTGCATATTATTATAATCCGATGCCGCCGTTGCGAACGAAGTGATACATTCCTGGGGTAAAGAATTGGTATTGGATTTATTTTGATGTAATGATAAAATATTATTTTGCACTTGAACGTCCCAAACTTTATCAGCAATATCAGTTAACTCATTGATCAATGATTTCCCAGATGCTACCAAAGCAATTCGTATTGATTCAGGAAGTTTTCTCGTCCATAATTTAATCAATAGATTCTTACCAACAGATGTCGAAGTACCAGCCATTATATTTATCGCATGAAAAAACTCTGATGGTCTACGATCTCCTTGCTCGGTATTAAAAAAAAAGTTCCTCAATTTTTCTTCTCCACTAATCGTATGTCGATGAATTGAAGTTGATTTCAAGAATGCATACTTATTTTGAGTAGGAGGAGCTTGCAGAACATTCAAAACCGATGGAATAGCTTCTTGAGTTAAAGAAGCAATAACATGGGTGGTACTTGGTTTGGTCAGATTTGATTTTTTTTGTAGTAAATTGGGCTTCAGCTTGAATGAACCATGCTTCTGGACAAGCTTTCCAGAATACTTAACATTAATTCTTGCCTCTTCAACGTAAGAGATATTCTGGTTTGCTTCAACTTCCCATGAGAACATTATAATGAGAAATCAATAAAAAAATCAATAATGGAATTCAGGAAATCAATTCAGGACGAAAATACTTCTACTTGAAGAACTGTATGGAGACCAATAAAATTCAATGCAATTGATGGCGTTATTCTGGAACCGTTTCGTATAATGTTGAGAAACTCTGGAACATCTTAATATCGATTCACTTATTTCTTCGTTGATTCTGCTGGATCAGATCATGCTGCACAGTGATGCGAAACGTTCCGCAGCGGGCCTGGATGAATATACTCGTAGCTTGCGAAAATGTCGATCAGGAATTAGTTTCGAAAACTTGATCGTTCTTGTCAGGGTCACCAATATTGAATTCTTTATTTCAATTCTTGATGTAATATAAAAACATATAATAACACTCTAATATGTTCAATTCTCGAGTATATTATATTACTATTATTATTCATATTCATGACAACAACATAAGATAGTCGTTTCATACAATGTGTTCTATACAATATCTCCTGTTGAAAAAAAATTATCACTCCTGTGATAATAGGGTCTAATATTCGAAATGTGAGCGGTTTCTTCTTTGAAATCATTTTGAAAATGAACGTAAGCTAGAATGTTATTCATATATTTGACTTTCGTGATTTTGATAGGCAATTTGGTAACAAAATCTTTCCCGATTCGTTGGTTTCTTGATAAAATCCAATCTCCAATTCCTAATATCGGTGGTTTGGTCTTACGATTCATATTTGCTTGATCTCTTATCCTCTCTTCATATTCCAATTGTCCTTCTGTTCTCTTAATTTTTTCTTGTTTACTGAAATCTGTACCTAATCCCCAATCCGCATTTAATATAACATTCTTGCCGTGCAGGAAAAAAAATTGGAGAACATCCCAGATATTTATTATGAGAAAAATTATGGTGACGAACTGCTGCATCGAGACATAATTTGCAACCACCTTCAATTTTCAAAACATTTCATGAATGTTTTGAGATCTCTGACTGCTCTTTCAGCTAATCCATTGCCAGCTGGATGATAGGGAGTAGTATGAATTACCTTGACCCCTTCGTTCAATGCCCTTTCAGAGAAAACACCTGAAGTGAAAGCTAATCCAAGATCCGTGACAATATTTTTGATCTTGTTCTTAAATGGGAGTTGATTGAAATAATTTTTCAGAGCTACTCCACTTTTTTTCCTTGCTTTCGCGGAAATGTGTCTTGTAGCTTCATCTATAACAACTATAAACGATTCAATAGTTCTATTTCAATCAGATTTTTTGTCAAGTTCAGCAAAGTCAACATGTATTGTATTGTATGGAATTTCAGAACAAGGAGTTGAATGAACGAAATCGGGTTTTGGTAAAAATTTAAATTTGACAATTTGGCAGACTTCACAAGTTTTTATGTAATATCTGATATTCTTGCACATCCCATTCCAATAAAATCGTTTTCTCATTTTGTAATAAGTTGTATAATAACCATCATGACCACCGGAATCACAATCATCATGATAGGACTCCAAAATTTATTTTTTCATACTATTAGTTTTCACAAGATACCGTCCATCCTCTATTTCCTCCGAATCCTGCACATTCAGATAACACCAAAATGTTTCATCAACATTTTCAGGAATTCTAATGTTTTGATGACTATCTCGGCCTCCAGATCCATCTGCAATTTGGTAATAAATTCGTGTGAATTTCGATTCTATAACACCGTTCGACTGCGCCATTGTAATAACACTCTCATATGTTCAAGTTTCAAGTATATTATATTACTATTATTATTCATATTCATGACAACAACATAAGATAGTCGTTTCATACAATGTGTTCTATACAAAACATATTTCGGCAGTGACATATTTTTATTTTTTATCATTTTCTGACAACATATTTCATCTTTTCCAAAAACCTCTTGCTACAAAATCAACATTAATACAATGTGAACTATACTAAAATGATAACAGAATATAACCGACCACTACAATTCTCTATAAGTCAACGTTTCGTGATGGGCACGGTGCCCTATCTTAAATAACACGTTTTGATGTTTTCCTCATCCTTGGATGTTTCACGGACTTTGTTCGGCAATGACCCATTAAGTTATCACGTTAGAGATATCTCTGAATGAAATACATGCGGTCTCAGGGCACAAGGCCCTCCGTCACATCAGAACCCGTTCTTTCATATTCATCAAAGTTTGACGAAGTCGGTTTTTTGATATTATTGGGTATCAGCACCCTCAATTAGAAATAGCAGGTTCTAATGTTTACACCCCTATATGAGTAAAACTTAATCTTTCTCAATATGTTCGATATTATCAGTACTCTTTCCTTATAGTAGGTGAGTTGGCTGCATATTTCTACCGTAATCTGATAGCGAAATGATATATGTCCCAAAGGAATGTGAAAACATTGTAGTTCATCGAACGGCACCTGTGCCAATCACTATCTTGAGCAAAATCATTAAAAAATGCACTTTCCCTTGCGGACATTAGCACTTGATTACCGAGATTTGATAACGACATGAGAATTATGCCATCCGATACCAATTGAATAATATATCTCAAAAACCTACCTGTGCTACTCCTCAGTCTGAGCCAAATGCATGGCACAGCGATTTATTTGCTCCTTTTATTTCGGACATACTTCCGCCGTGTGATAACGTGCAAATAGCAAATGAAAGGGAATAAAATGTCCCCTTTGCAGATATCCAAACGTACCGCGATTCAAACTGATCTAAATTGGTTACAGAGCGTTGATGTTTTCGTGAATATGTCGTCCTCGTCTAAAGATAATATCCGATAGACCAGTGTGAAACTCATGTGGTGCTCACACTACAAGTATTCTAATCCAAGTGTAGAGTTTGACACTGCTCCATCGAATATTATCATTAGAGGGGCGTGAAACATTCTCGAAAGTATCGACGCTCTGCCACTAACTTAGATCAGTTTTATCCGCGGCACGTTTCGATATTCGCAGCGGCGACATCATCCCCTTCCATGTGCTACATGTTTCAATTCGTTATCACACGACGGAAGTATGTCCGGAATAATAACAGCAAATAAATGGCTGTGCCGTGGATTTGGCTCAGACTGAGGGGTGGCACAGGTAGGTTTCTGCAATCTACCATTCAATTGGTATCGGAAGGCATAATTCTTATCTCTTATCAAATCGCGAAATAAAGTACAAATTTCCGCACAGGAAAGTGCAATTTTTCTATCATTCTGGTCAGGATAGTGATTAGCACAGGTACCCTTCGATGAACTACAATGGTTTAACATGCCTTTGGGATAAAGTTCCTAATTAGGTCGAAACATATCCCTGAATAATTGATTATATTATTAAAAAGATAGTGTGGAAATGAACGAGCATTTCTTTTCTTGCTTCGAATATTTTTAGCCAACAAGAACTTCTACGGGGAAATTATTTAATTTGTTTCGATTGACATCGAACAATCAATAGAAAATATAAATTCTGGTGATTGAATGCAAAAATTCAAAAGTCAATTCAATTGGCAGAAAAACCGAATCAATTAGGTAAATGAATATTATTCAACAATTTCAAATTTCAGGAATGAACCTATCATCAGATTTTATGGTCTCCAAACTGGTTTCTTATCTTTTTCACTCAGTCTCCTAGCGCTGTTAATTACGCCATCCAATTCAGTTTGTGAACTCAATCTAATTCTAGATGGACGCCTAGAAGAGGGAGTAGACTGAATAATTTTTGATGTATCCAATTGTGTCTCTTCATGGGCGATAACTGTAGTTATTTCAGGGTTGTCTTTCTTCTCTTCCTTTTTCTCTTTTTTCTTTCTGAGTCTGAAACTTCCGAAAATAGAAGATAGTTTCTTCTCCTTGCTGGGTGTATTTTTGCTTGTCATATTACTTTTCAGAATATCTTCAACTTCTTTGAGATGATTTATCATGTCTGACCGAATGTTCTGAATGGTTAAGTGATGCCCTCTTACATCACTAGTCGTAAGATAAAATTTACGTGTAAGAGTAGAAATCACTAGGGGTCGGTTATATTGAGAAACCACACAAGTAACCAGGCTGATGATGTCTTCGTGTTTCCCGTATTCTGTGATGTTATGGCACAAGTTTTCAATGAAGTCTTCGCTATCATCTATAATGAAGAAATATGAAGTCAATACACAATAGTTATTTATGCAACAAGAGCAAAAAGTGAATGTTATAAACAATTTTTGCACGAGTTGCATACAACATTTTTTCTACGTTCATGCAAAAAGCAAAAAATGATTTATAGAGGTGCGACACTAGGTGTAGGAAAATGAAAAACGCAACTTGAATACTTTATTATTAATATCGATTTGCATTGAAACAGGAACTAATACGTTACGAACAATTTAACTCAAACTTTATTTTTACCCTCGATGTTGAAAGTGAATGAACAATTGGTGCAATTTTCAATATGAATAAATGACGTTTCTATAACCACAGTTGCGATATAAAAAATGTCATGGTTACAGCACGTTGAAGTAGAATGACAGATGAGTGCAATAAAAACTTCATTGCACTAAGTGCAATAAAGAACTTCTTTTTCCACAAAATATAGTTCAATAAAGTTCTGCTTTTTGCATGAATGTAGAAAAAATTCATTTAATTATTTATACATCCAACAGGCCTGAAGCTCAATTATGACAAGAGTCACTATGGTAAACTAAATCAGATATACATGCATAAATGACTTCAAAAGTCTAATAGTATATTATGTAAAAAGGGTTATAAACGTCCTTTTAGTAACGAGTATTTTGAGCACGAGCGGAGCAGAGTGGAGCGAGTGTTTAATAAACGAGTGTCTAGAAGAGATTATAAACGCGTTACATACTATGCTTCTTCTACGAACTCCGAAAATTACATCAACATACCTGCTAGTCCTGCTAACCTACGAAGTAATTAGAAAGGAATGGGAATTGAGAACTTGATACCACAGTTGAGAGAATATATGTAATATTCTCTCAACTGTGATGATACATGCAACTGCATGCAACCAGCGAGACACGTATAAGCGATATTGGTTGTAGATGTGTCCAGTCCATTGCTTACTAGCCTTTGTTTCACGTTGATTGTCATGCTTAGCGCAGAATAAATGGATTGTTCTCAAAGATGGATGCTTCATTTTTATACTTCAAGGAGATTTATGCAAGTACCAGAAATTTCTCTTCAACTTCACTTTCGTCTACATTTCGCATATATTTTTAATGAAGAATTCTGATACAAACGAATATTGTTTGAATAATTCTGATACAAAATTTGAAAATAACAGTTGACAGTTGATACAATTGACAGGCCAGACATGTTTGAAAGTACTAAATTACTGAAGCTGTGTTTAATGAACTGTGTTGCCATGGTAATGTGTTTAAGATATCGTGTTGCCATGGTAACGTGTTTAATATTTTGAATAAATCACAGATCGTCAATCCATGATTAATATATCATTTAGCGTGGTACATATCCGTATGCTTAATGCCATTTTAGTTATGTGAGTAGAAAAAGTCATTTTTCTCCTGAAATGAGATAAATTCAGGAAAAAAATATACCAACATCAATCTGTATATTATTGTTTCCAGTGAACACACGGGTATTTGTTGGATAACCATTGAACATCCATTTTGGATATTTGGGATATCCAGAGAATGCCCACTTGAAATCCTATGTATATTTTATCAACATCCATAATTTATTTGATATCTTTCAGGGCTTGCCATGAAATATTGTTCACGTATGTTTCTCGAAAACTTTCACTGATATCCTGAAGGAAGTCCATAGGACATTGTACACAGATATTCACAGGATACCTATGAGATATATCATTGGAACTGAAATAGGGCAATGCATCGAATGTATTCAATCTTTCTACATAAGAAATGGATCAAGCTGCAAAAAAAATTATGAACGCATCTGAGTGAAAAAAATGCTTGAACTTTCAAGATAAGTTTGAATTGAATTAGAATCGACTATAAGATATTTCTCTGAACAGACTATCAGTGAAATAGAGGAGGTATTATGTTGATGCCGACACAGGATTTCTATATATGTGGAAATATGTAGGAACGACTGTACTATGATTGATGTTTTAATTCATATAACGTATAGCAACTGTTAAATGCTTTTCAACGTTGATAATTCACTAGGTAAATGGTTTCCAAAAATGGTTGTAACATCGGTTGGAATATTCATTCTATATGCTTCCTGCTATGAATCATATGACAGTAATGATTGTGAGATTGGGAATACGAATATGTTATAGTTTGATTTCACAAAAGTGTCAAGAAAAAATTCAGCTATCACGATCATTTGAAAAAATCGTGTACCTGATCATAAGGTATGTATCTGATCTACCTTCTTTGCCACAAAATATATTTCAGCCGATTAGGGTTCAAAGATCAGGTACTATGGACTTACATGTACTAGTTTTGCTGTATATTATAAGTATATCTGCTTCAGCTGGTGTATCATATGTCTGTTCGAAAGTTATTCTTATGGCATCAGTTTGAGTAGAGGTTGGGGGTGACACCTACAAAAAAGTGATTACATAACAATTTCAGTATGTTCCATTAGGAATCGCTACACCGTTTTATTTTTGTATGCGTTAATGGATTTGAAGAAATGAAAATTTTGAAAGATGAATAGTAGATCAGAATGCACATGCTAACTGAAATTCATCTCCAAAATATTCATCAACATTTGTTAATATATTTAAGATGCACATATTCCGTATATTTGAAATCCATCCTCAACCATACACATAATGTAGAAAGATATGTCAAAAATATGATACTGTTACACGACTACATTTTCCGGAATAGACTCGCGCCGCGTTCTCAGAAAAAGCGAAGATTACTGAATGACTAGAAGATAGTTCACTCACTGGGATCCGTTTGTCAGTACGCTCGAACATTGCGTTTTCTGCTTTTCCTCGAAATCTTCGGGAAAACAAACGGTAGCGGCATGTAGCGGTCGACAAAGACGCGCTTGACGGTTATACGGGGGCGATTGCAATTCCAGCGCTCTTACAGGGGACGCTCAGTAACGTTCACTCAAAAATCGAAAATAAGAATGAAAGTGGTTTTTGATATTTAAGAATAATTCAATTTGTATCAATGGAATGATAGTTTCTAATGATTCATTCTCAAATGATACACATTCATGGTGGCTCAAGGTGCTAAGCGGTTCGACTATCGTCCTGCCTGTACAGTTAGCTCATTGAATCATCCGCAACAACCTGTTGACGCATCTAATCTCTCTGCGGAGTATGTGAATTTGAAAAATGTACCCATAAATTCACATAGGAATGCAAATCCACGAATTCTCATTGGATAAGACAACTGGAAATAAGTTTTACCACTTCGTGTCGTTAAAGGAGAGGAATGCTAACCGATTGCAGAAAAATCAAGATCAGAATGGTCAGTATTTGCACTTCAATCATCGTCTCTGCGAACCCGGAAACCAAGCTACATTAATTATCAATATGTGAATGTGTCAACACTGTGATGAGTTATCGAGAACTCCATGAAGCAGTGAAGACATTTTTCTCAGTGGGAAGTCTTGGAGATAGAGCATCGAATGTTTCGTCAAAAGAACTCAAGAGAGCAGATAATATTACGCAGAGGGAAGGTACAGACTGAGAAGGCCAATCCAGCAGCATCGTCTAAAATTTTGGAGAATTGGAATAAGCAAAATTTTTTTCATTTGAGTAAAATATCATCAATATAACAATGGAGAGCATCAATAAAACCTCGACCACAGTTGACGAAACTCTTTTTCTCTCATTCTCCATTATTTGAAACCATTGACCCTTTTTCTATCGAAATCTCACATACGAAAATGTGTTTTAGCATTGAAAAGGAATTCTTTTTCGATTGGATTGAAGCGTAAAATCCAGACTAAGATCTGGGAACTGAAACGGATGAGATTTTTCATCAAAACGATGAATAGAAGACATAATGGCTCCGGTCTCAAGCCCTATATTCGTTGGATTGATGTGAATTCAATCTTCGCGTCAAGAGTGCAGCCGGTCTTCTGAATTTGAGACATAAGGAAAATATGGACTTTTTGGAGGATTCAAATAGATTAGTGAATAAGGAAATTTCAAGAATTTTGGGACGATTTTCAATGCTAAAAGTCAACTTTACATTTCCCGGTGACTTCATTAAGCAGTCAAATAATGGGGAATTGGTTGACCGCAAACATTTTGGGACTCCCAATGCCATCGTGGACGCAGGAACGGACCTAGCCGATTGGTTCAAAATCAATGCGCTTGATAAAATTAGCGAATTTGCCGAGAAGAACAGTGGCTGGGCCTTGAGTGGAATTATTTCTCTCAAGGTAGCCATTAATAAATATAAAATGGGAAATGGCTCATCATACATCAAATTAACAGTGCAGATTGAGAAAGAGCAGGCTTGCATTAACGTTCAAAATGATGATGAGGCATGCTTCTTTTGGAGCATAGTCAGTTGTTTGCATCCTATTGAAAAGAATTCAAATAGAGTGAAAAATTGTCCTCACTATTCACAAGTTTTGAACATTATAGGATTAGACATACCAATGAAGCTGCCCCAAATCACAAAATTTGAAGAATTGAATAGTATTTCGGTTAATGTTTATTCGTTAGAGTTGACCTAAGTCAACGAACGAGCATTTAACACTGTCGTACCCATCAGACTAACTAAGCATAAATGTAATCGACCCGTTGATTTGCTATTAATTCAAGACAAATATTTCTCAAAATTGAATAACTATGAAGCTCCTCCCGATAATGATCACTATGAAGATAGGGACAACTGGTTTCATTTTCACAACGTGCAGTATGGTAGAAATAGCATGGCACTGTCTTCTCTCTTAGAGTTCCTTTGGAGTTCCAGCAGCATTTCAGAATTTCAACTCCGGTTAATCTAAATACAACCTTCAGCATGTTCCTTACGACTCTCCAATTCAAGTCATCCAGACCACACCCCAGCTTTGGAACAGCTATCTTCTGTATGTCCTTCTCGAGTTTGACGCGGCATACCTATGTGAGACCTATTCCAAGATATCAAAGCAGCTGGTGCGAGACAACAGTAACCTGGTGGTATTATTTCGACAAGATGAAATAAATCTGAAGCATGTGTTTGATGAGCATGTATCACCAGACATGTCATTCGATCAATTCAAAGCGTTGTGCTCAGAGTGCTGGAATTCCAGCCAATATGGTGCGATGGTGATTGCGAAAACTTCCGACATGAACGCTGGCAGATACAGAAATGGTCTTGATGAGTTTATAAGGCTGTGATCTTTGGGTCATTCATCAAGATGACGTTAACCGGGATGCATGATCACGTTGCTGATGCGCTACGCAAGAGAAAAATTAACGAAATATCTTAATCAATCAGAAGGAAATATTTAGCTCTGAAATTAGGCAAGTCTGAGGATGATGAAGCATTACAGAAAATATTCCAACCGCTGACATCACCTTTGAAACAAATTGCCACCACATCCAAGATACTAGAAGAAAAACTCGATGGGACATTTTCAAACATCAAGCTAAGCAAAGCAAAGTCGTTGGGGTTGAAAAAGGAGAAGAAGGAGGAGAGGAGGAGGCAGGGGGAGGTGGAGCAATCGGCTGATAATGCTGGGCATACTGAAGATGATGATGAGGACGATTACGCAGTATCCTGCGATGGCTCAAAAATATCTGACTGAATACTGGACAAATGATGGAAATATCGATACGGTTTATGGTCCCATATATGATCCAGTAACATCGAAATGGTCACTTCCGTGCTCCGTGACACTTTCGTGACACTTCCGTGACATTTCTGGAGCACTTTCATGGCATGTCTATGAGATGGGCCTAATTGGCGGGGCGACCATTATCGATAACGTACAATGCTTTAGTTATTAGCATAATGAGTCTCGACAAATTCGGACGTGGTTCGTTTCCACGCAGCGATCGCTCAGCTCAGATGTTGACCGTCAGATCTGGATTTTCACATACTTCAACCGGTGATATCGATGTTGGTAATTTGAAGATGTGTAACGTCAAACAGATGCCGCTGATGTTGCAAACAAAAAAGATGTGGATGAAATTATATCGCAAATAAAGTCACATTTCAAGATAGCTTTCGATAATCACGGTGAAAGGATCCGAAATTACCTTGCTGGCTTCAGCAACGAAATAATCGCAGAAAGGAAGAGAGTGGATGCACATGATCTCAAACTGACAACGTACAATACAAACTTTGTTCAATTATCTGGCATAGTACACAAGACCAACATCCATGTGGAGCAGCTTCGCAACGGTTCTCTACCAAAACTTGAAAGCGACATCGACTTCAATGTGAAAAATATTCTAGAACTTGTTGATAAGATTTTCAACACTGTGAAGAGTTTGCACGGGTTGAGCAACAACAGAGCAATGATAAAGAACGTCAGCTCGCTGATGCCATTGCTAAAATCAAAACGGATCTCGCCAAGATTGTAGCTCTAAAACCTTCGACTGTGACACTACCACCACAAAAAAAAACCTTCTGTGTGAATTATATGAACTCTTAGTGTCACCGTTTCTTACATCATTATCCATCCGACGTTGTTAACATGTTACATTCTAAAGAAAAAATCCAACTCGTTAATGGATTACATAGACCTGCACGTAAGAAATTCCCGAGACGTCGTATCATCATCAAAGGCTTGGATGACCTATGGCAAATGGATCTAGCCGAAATGCGACCCTATGCCTCTGTGAATAAGGACCATGAGCTGATAATGGTTGTGATTGATTGTTTTTCCAAGTACCTATGGACTCGACCATTGAAATCAAAAACTGGTACTGAAACTGCTCGAGTATTTGCAGATATCCTATCACATGCTGGCAACATCAGAGTTCCCAAGAACCGATCAAGGTACTGAATTCTACAACGAGAAGTTTCAAAGTCTGATGAAAAAGTTCTCCATCTACCATTATCATACGTACACCATAGAGAAGGCAGCCATTGCTGAACTTGTTATACGGACATTGAAGGAAAAGCTATACAAGTACTTTAGTTTGAATAGCTCATACCGTTGGATAGATGTCCTGGCTGAAATCACGACAAATTATAATACCACGAAACATACGACGATTAGATGCAAGCCCACTGACGTCACCAAAGCCAACGAACAAGATATTCTAAAATCCACGTACAATCACATCAAAATTGCTGGAACCAGCGAATTCAACGTTGGTGACATTGTGAGAATAAGCAAAGCCAAATATGTTTTCGAAAAGAATTATACCCCAAATTGTACTACTGAACTATTCAAAATCATAAAAGTTCGTATTACGAAACCTACCACATATATCTTGGGAGATTTGCGTGGTACACCAACCAAAGGTGCCGTTACCCCAAAAAGGTGTTTGTCAAATGGCTGGGATTCGATGATACACACAACAGCTGGATTGATCCCACCAACGAGTTATAATGTAATCATATGGAAAACCCGCACAAATTCAATGGATGTAAAGGACCTTTCACATCGATCGCTGACAAATAACAA